TTTCACAGATGAAACCCAGGACACTTTTGGTCATGCAACCTCAGAATGTGATCAAAAGGCAAAAGTTACTAATGAGGAGTTATTAATGCACAGGCTAGAAGGGAGCATATAACAGTTTGCTTACTGGGAAAAGCAAGTTTTCAACACTTCTTTTCCTCTTTCCTGAACTGAGTGAAGTAAGCTGAGGACAAAAAGGAAAAGTGAGAGGAGACAAAAATGGGACATTTTTTAAATTATTTTTGGAAAAATAAGACAATGAAAGATTAATAGCGACTGATTCTGTCAAATCAGGACAGTTGGGAGGACTGCTTGTTTATTCTCTCTTTATTTCAGATTCCATATAATGCAATTTAACTGCAGTCCAATGCAATTAAACTGTATTATATGACAATGTGGATGGGGCCTCAGTTTCTCCATAGCATTTTGTATGGGGATTTTGTAAGGAATAAATCCAACCCCTGAACAGGACCTCATCTCTGACTTGGCTCCAAGGAAATAAGAGTAAAGCATATCCATTTTACAGGATAAGCCAATTCCTCTGATATTGTAAAGCTGCTCAGATCTTGTTTACCCATTACAGCAACACATCCAGCACAGTTTAAGCTCCTTTATTTCAGTGGGCTTCAGTGCACTAATTCTGTGTTGGGTAGGGGCCAGGAAGTATGTAGCGAGTGGTCGTAAATCTGTTCTAATATGAATATCAGTTTATACATTGTATTAGTAAAATGTAATGTAAACATAACTCATGGCTCTCTTGCTTGGCATGGTGGCATGTGTTGATTTGCATGTGATAAAAGAGGAAATTAGGACTCCTCTCTTTCTAAACTGAAATGTTAGGAGAGCTTTCTAAGGACTGGGAGACACATGGCCCTCCAGTTGTTACTGAGATGCAGCTCCCCTAATCAGCTTAGCCAATGCTGAGGGATTGTGGGAGTTACCATGACACAACAGTAGCAAGAGGGCTGTAGTTATGCTCATCTCATTCAGGCAATTAATCATCTGAACATTGATTTATTCGGAAAGGCCACATAATACAATGCCAGGAAGCTTTGCTTGTTTTAAAAAGGAAATATCTTATATTTATTGTGGAGCCCTTGATGAGTTAGGCAACCAGGCCCAGCAACAACTTTTGGGCTACCATAAGGATGCTGGGGTTACAAAGTCCCTTTAGATGCCTTTATTTTTTCCTTTTTTAAAAACACAGGGATCACCAACCCGGCACATATGCGATTACTGCTTATAACTTTGTTAGTTTCATTTTAAATGAATGATATTTTTCTCCAGTAAGGTGATTTTTATTCTTTTAAACAATTTTGCACAATTTATAATATTTTATTGTTTTATTTAAACTGTTGAACTTATTTTACATGAGGATACAATTCTATTTGGTAACAAATGTTTTTATATTGTTTAATTAATGGCTTATGTATTTTATGTATTTTAATGGTTTGATGGTTCATTTAATGGTTATTGTATTAATTGTTCATGTAATGGCATTGAATTGCTGCCTATGTAAGCCGTCCTGAGTACCCCTTTTGGGGTAGAGAAGAGACGGGATATAAATACCAGAAATAAATAAATAAATAAATAGTTGTGATGGTGCTAGATTCAAGTGAGTTTAAAATATGAAGCTGCATATATTGAAAAGTAATAATAATAATAATAATAATAATAATAGTGCTGTACTTCAGAACTGAAGTAATATGTAGGGTCATCTAAAGACAGCTGGTAATAAAGCCATCATATCTGGTCTTTGAAATTACTGAACTGCACAGTATGACTTTTAAAAAAGAAAGTAATTTTTCAAGTGAAACCAGAATTGGATTTGTTGGGATTGCTAGAAGATGAGAAGGAAAAGAAACATGAACAATTCTCATGGTACATGATTACTGCAGTATCAATGAACATGCACAGTGCTGAATAATCCTGATTGCAGAAATGGCAGAGTACATATCCATATATGGAACATCTTGTCTGTCTGGTTTATAAGTTTCAGTTCTGACTGGGGCTTCCCTGCTTGTGAGACAAAAGACAAAACTTGAGCAGAAAAAAAAAATCTTCATGGGACTTTTAAATCATGAGGTTGAATTATATCTAGCCCAGATGCCTGCTTCAGTGTAAGCTGCGTTTCAGGGTGATGGGAGAGGGGACAGAAAAGGTTAAGTCTGTGTAGCTGTGATATACGATGGCTGGAGAAATCTGAGGAATGCAATTTTAAAAGCACTATTTCTGCCTTCTGGTATTTAACCAAAGTAGTGTCAGCCAGATTACTCACACTATATATTCAAGGGGGATAAGGGGGATAAGATTAGTGACTCACTACAAGACTAGTGGTTAATTTCTTCTCAATATCCATATTTATGACCATTTACTCCATAACAATAATGGTTCACACATTCAATTTTCCCCTATCTATAAGGGCACAGTGAGTGCAGACTTAGGTTTGTCTACTCAGGAGTAAAACTTCACTGAGTTTGAACTTGCCTTAAGAAGACTAGGAGAGTCAAACTTCCTTGCATAGTTCTGTAATGTATTTTTTTAGAACATACCAGATATTATTTTTTTTTCATGTCAGGAGTGACTTGAAAAACTGCAAGTCACTTCTGGTGTGAGAGAATTGGCTGTCTGCAAGGACGTTGCCCAGGGGATGCCCGGATGTTAGGATGTTTTACTATCCTTGTGGGAGGCTTCTCTCATGTCCTCGCATGGGGAGCCGGAGCTGACATAGGGAGCTCATCCGTACTCTCCCCAGTTTTGAACCTGTGACCTGTCGGTTTTCAATCCTGCTGACACAGGGTTTAACCCATTGCGCCACCTGGGGAATGTATCAGGTATTAAACTAATAAAAACATCCTATACTTGATCTTGGCGAAAAGGCTGAGAGGTAATGTATTTGTGAAGAAATCAATGTTGATTTTAACAATTAGGAAAATGAAGAGATGGAAAACATAAAAATCAGGAGGCATTGGTGCCTTTGAACAATTACTCATAAAGCATCCATGGAAGTACCCCATTAAGCCCTGGGTAAGGTGCTATATATGGATAGACCCTGAGAGATGGAAAGCAAATGAAGTCAAATTTATAACTGAATCATAGCCTTTTTAGTGAATTTTAGAAAGAAATATAATATCAATAACATTTTATTGGTTTTTCTGAATTGTAACCACAGAATTTTGGGATGTTTGTTTTAATGAATTTTGGTGATTATTAATGTTAATTTCTTAAGTATAATATTTGTACGGTTTTGACAGTGTGTAAGATTAACCTTTTGTTTGCTACTGTTTGCTTTCAAGTTGACTTTGACTTATAGTAATGTTATCATAGTGAGTTATGTTTGTTTGATAAGATTTACTCAGAAGGGATATGCCTTTGCTTTTCTCACAGATCAAGAGAGGATGATTTGTCACTCAGCAGGTTTCTATGACTGGTTTTCTAGAGACCTAGTTCAATAATCAATCCATTACACTATACTGATTGCTTCTGTCTCTGTGTTTGCATGTGTACATCCAATATAGCTACAATAATTTTCAAAAGCAGTCCATTGGTCTAGATAACTCTCGCAGCTGTATGATTCTATGTGTAGACAAACCTCTGCAATTAAAGGAAATTTAACTTTACTGAAAGCTGAATATAATCCTGAGTTGGAACCATTATTGCTATATTGGTGGAATGGCATGTAAAACTACTGCTGTAGCATTGCATCTGAAACTGTAGTGGTACCAACACTCTTATAGGCTGAATGGGACCACAAAAGAATGCACCCATCTAAAGAAGACAGGTGGCACATGGCACAACAATGTTGAGCTTTCAGTTCTTAGATGCTGAGCCTTGTTAGAAGTTAAAGAACCTTTGTATATCAAGTTGGTATTAGAATGGGGAGAGCTGAGTCTGTTCAGTTATGAAGCACACTACAAGTCTCCAGAGCATAGTGTGAGGGTGGGGGGGGGGGGAGTTGCCAAATATTTTTGAGCTGTCGTTGGTTGAATCTGTGGATGTAGAACCTGTAGATAGAGAAAATTGACAGTATGACTAGTTGGATTGCCCATTCTATGTGTGCAGTTGTAAAACCATCACTTCAAACTCAAGAGAGAAGAAGTAGTGTTCATGTATGAGCTTTCAACTTGCTAGGAGAGAAAGTTAAATGTTTTCCCACCTCTACTTCCTATGATTGGGGAATTGGCTTGAGTGTGCTGTGAAGCCCTGGGAAAAGTCTTCATACTGAAGATGGGCAGTTGTCCACAGCACTTAAACAGTCTCTTGCCTTCCCACCAATCTTGTTTGTGTATCTTTTCAAAATAACTGGGAGTCAGGTGCCCAGGGAAGTTTCATGTACAGGCTGAACTAGGACTATATGATGCAACTGCTAAAGTCCTCCTGCATTTGAACTTGTGATCTATCACTAGCAGAGTGTAATAGAAACCTCGGGAAGAAGATGCTGGATGGTGAAGGATGGGCTGTCATGGACCCCTCCTGACTAGACTCTTCCACTGGAAGAGAGTTGTGCTTTCCAGATATCCTGTTCTGCAGCCTTCAAGCTTTCCTTCTGTCATCATTTGAGTGAAGATGTGATATCCCAATGCTACTGTTTCAATAAGACTTAATTGTCAGTCTCCATGCTTTTCATAAGTGGAATTCTTTCTTCTCTCTCATTTCAGGTAGCAAAATGGCCAGGCCACCCCTGTTTAACAGCAACTGGACCAACATTTAGCAGATCTGTTCTGTGGAAATAGGTATTTTCTTAAAGCCTCATAAACTAAATGTGTGCATACTGATAGGTTTTTGAAAGCACAGGAGTAAGGTTCGGAAGATACATGGCAACTTCAATAAATGCTGATGTACAATACTCTTTCAACTGCATTGCAAGGGTGGGACTGAATGTTTTCTTCAGTAGATTAGTTATGCCTTTTGAGAGAAGGCCTTGAAATAGTGCAGCTGCTGCTGGGACTTGTCTTGTTAAAGACAAAAACATCTGGAAAAGTTTAAAGAGTGGAACCACCTCTCATTATCCTTGCAACGTGGCAGCTGCTACGTAACATTCCCAGATTCTGGACTGCGGCAAAAACCTTCCCTGAAAGAGCACCAAATGACAAGCGCCAGCAAGATAATTATAATTGTAGCCTCTTTTGATACGTGGCAACCAAACACAGGGCTTTGACAACAGCAAAAAAGGTGATGTGTGTTATTTTGTAATTGCATCAGACAAAAATGAACGATAGACTCACAGCTAAGTTCCATCACTGGCAAGTTCCTGCACACTGCATGCCTTTCAGATTATGAATATAGCCAGAGTAGAAAAATAGTGGCACAGGCTGTATAGGGAGGGCAGCTCCACAGTCTAGACCCCAGGCTTTTACAATGACCTTTGCATAAAATGCTTCTGAAGCTCAGCCTTCAATCTGGCTTTCATTTTATGGGAAAGAACTGCCATGCTAGCAAAACCAAGGTGCTGATGAAATTCGGGAATGACTTGGCTCTTAACAGAATGGAAAACTCTGTGCAGTTCTGACCAAAGGAAGAGTTCTTATGAATACTCTGAGTGTCCCTCCCTCATAAAATAGGCCAATACCCCTAAGGAATGACAATATGTACAATGTAGTTGCTTATAGGAGAGGAGAAGTAGTCACTTGTTTTGCTCGGTTGGCAACAATTATAGCCTTTAGTTTCTCTAACTATTTCATCACACTAGAGAATGAATCCACATTAAATCCGGTTGCTGCCTCTTGCAGAATTCTGGGGTTTGTAGTTTAGTGAGACTGTTAAAGGCTCCTCCCTAAACTACAAACCCCAGAATTCTGCAAGAGGCCATAACCTGATTTAAAGTGGATTCATTCTCTAGTGTGATAAGGTCCTAAGAGTGCCTGGAGTGTCTATTGTGCATGGGCAATCCTACATATGCCTTCCCAGAAATAACCATTACTGAATTCACTGGGAATTCACTCCTCTATATCCAAAGATTCTGTACCCATGGATTTATCAATTGACGTGTTGAAAGTATACTTTTAAAGAAGGCCCAAAAGCAAACCTTGATTTTGCTATTTTATATAAGGAATACCATTTTACTCCACAATGGCATCCATGGATTTTGGCATCCACAGTGGGCCCTGGAACCAAACCCAATTGCATACCAAGGATCCACCATGTATAGCAAGGGAGGGATTCATGCAACTTATCTGATCTTATTAGAGTATAATCTCCAGCAGTGCTTACCATTGTAATTGCAGTTCAACAACATTCAGAAGAGGTTTGTGATTCTCACTCTTGATATATAAAGGATTGCCGCCTTAATTCCTCAAAAGATATGAGCTGGAGACTTGCCTATAGATCTTTTCTCCTTATTGCCAATCACTAGAAGTCTGATTGTTATTGCTTGACAGAAAAGGAATTGAACTCTGTTCATGTTCATTCTATTATTTAATCTGTTGTTCTGTCATATCTGTTGTAAGACCAGATACATTTGAGGGCACAATACCACAGGTTCTTGTTCTAAATGTGCATGTTTTAATTGGCTCTGTATAACTCAGATATGACATTGGTCACAATTTATAAGTCTGGGAAATGACAGTAAAGTAGTGAGAGCCAGCCAAAAGTAGGCATGAATGCCAGGTAAGTTCTAAATTGTATAAGGCAGTGCCTATTGGCAATTGGTGTATCCTGTAGACAAATATTATGGTTATATACAGTGGCTCTCAAAAGGAGGACTAGTTGTGCTTGACTGTAATTTCCAGAAGTTCCAGCCAGCATAGTCGATAGTGACAGACTCTAAAACATATGGAAGAATAAAGGTTGAGAAACTACCATGGTAGAATGAATATATATATAGTAGAGCAGGGATGCGTGACCTTTGGCCTTCCCACTATTGATGATCACATTTTAGGTGAGGTTAGTTGGGACTGATGAGAAGTTGAGTTCAGTAACATCTGGACTATCTTTGTCACAGTAGGTTTCATGGATGCACCGAAAATATGAAGGCATAGAAGGAGAATATCAAAATGGGAAGATTTATTCATTTTTTAATGATTTACATGTGAACAGAACAGACTCTTGAGTAAGTGTCTTCCCATCATATCTAATTCTGGATACAAGCAGAAACAAGTTAACCCATGTAATTGGAGATGTTTCTTTGGCCTTTCTGAAGTTTATGGGAGGAATCCATAAATGGATGACTTGGCAGTGAATCATGATGCCTCAGGAGAAAATCTCCAACAAATCTTATGCAGAGACAACAGGAAAATTTTAGTTCTACCATTAATTCTCATTCTTTAGGAGACTTTTCTTTGTCTTAGTGTTTTCTTTAAACTGATGATATTTGGGGGTGGGTGTTAGACTTGTGTGCCCTTGGATCCTACATTACTGAAGATAGTACTATGCTTGAAGAGTCCTCTGGGTTCAAAGATAAAGATGCAAACAAAGGAACATCTTGAAGTTGTTCAACAGTGAGCAAGAAGACACCAGTGTGAGCCTGTAGGATCACAGAATACTAAGTCATAGGCTTCTCCAGTGTGAATGAGATATATATTACATTTGTTTTTGTATTACTATAACAAAAGTTTTTAAATCCACACACACATATATATAAATTAGCATATGCCACTCTCTGACCTCTTTTCCCTTTTCTTTGTGTGATGTGTTAGCAGCTACTTTACAACTGCTTGACAGTGAACAAATTGGACAAGATGGGGGTGAACAAACTGAACCTTAATCCAGACAAGACAGAGGTGTTCCTGGTCTGTAATAAGGTGTAACAGCAAACAGGAATTCGGTCAGTGCTGGACGGTTACATTTCCCCTGAAATCTCAGTTTTGCAGCTTGGGTGTACTCCTGCACTGAGAACTGAGCCTCCATTCCCAGGTTTCAGGGGTGGCCAGGAGTGCATTTACACAGTTTAAATGGGTGCACCAAATGTGCCCATTCGTAAGTCAGGTCTGGCTGGAATGACACATGTCTTGGTTATATTTGGTTTGGATTATTGTAATGCTCACTGTGTGGGGCTGCCTTTGAGAATTGTTTGCAAAGTACTGCAAGCTGTTGACTAGGAGTGGCTGCAGAGATTGCGTGACTGTCCTGTTGAAGCAACTTCATTGAATGCCAGTGGGAACCATTCAAAGTGCTGTTTTGGACCTTTAAAGCCTTAAATGGCTTGGGGCCAGCCCATCTGAAAGACTTAGGGTCCTTCTAGACAGGCCCTATATCCCAGGATCTGATCCCAAGTTTTCTGTTTATCCCAGATTATCTGGCAGTGGGACTCATATAATCCAGTTTAAAGCAGAAAACCCCAGATCAGATCCTGGGATATAGGGCCTGTCTGGAAGGACCCTGCAGCTCCTTATACAAGCCAATCTGAGCCTTAATATCTGCTGGAGGGAGCATTTTCCCAGTATCATCACTTTTGGTGAGGACACAGAGGAGAGCCTTCTCCATGGCTGCTCCTAGGCTGTGGAAATCCACTCTACAGGAAATCTAGTTGGTCCCTTCCCCAAGAAAGTGATTTGCTCAATGTCACCCAGTTGGTTTCCGTGTCTGACCAATTATTTGAACCTTTGTATCCTGAATTCCTAGATTAATAGCCAAACACCACAACACTCACATTCTCATACATGTAAGCATACTATTGAATTATGATGTCATCATGCAGGTGTTATCAAGATTACATACTTTAAATAATCATATAGATATATTTTTCTTCTCTTTTTTTATCATGGTTTGCAAACAGAATTCTTATGTACATATAGGATTCTCCAAGCGCTATATGCATCATATTCAGCCTATAAATTGATCCATGGTATAGCAGTGGGGTGTAGCAATACAGTGTCTGGATTTTGCTATATTAGTGACACAGAAACAGTTGTAGAACATGAAAGGATGGTTAGTACAAGCATACCTCAGTTAATAAAGCCTCTGAAAAGAAGCTCCCCTTTCTTAAACAAAGTTTTTAATGCTTTCCTTGTCATCCCTTTCCTTCTTGTCCTCGGTCAAGCTAGAGGGGTTTCTTTTTAGCAACATCAGCAGTGTAGGGGTTGTGAAGGAAGATTGGATGAACACAGACTTTTGGGCTCAGGTTTCACCAATATATCAACAGTAAACAATACAATAAGGCTTGAGCTGGGAAATAATGGGTGTGTACTCTAGCCAATCCTACAATCACTGTGTGTGCCTACATCCAACAAGCAGGTTAAACAGCAGCTGCTTCCAAATCCATTATTGAGTGTGTGTGAGTAGCAAATTGGGGAGAAAAGGGGACAGCAGATAAGCCTCCTCACCTGCTGCCTCAAATGTTAAAAACACATGAGTTTAGTCACCACATGGAAATTATAACAAAAGGGAAGTTGGTACAATAAAAAAAATCATCTCTGGATGCATTTTAAAAGAAGTCTTAAAGTAGTCCCTAGAAGATTCCGAATAGTTTTGTTTATTCACACAAAGCGAGTCTGGTATAGTTATTTCATTTCACATGTGCATATCTTTCATTCTGACACAAAGATTTGCTGAAACATATTCAAGAACATGTCTACTTCATTAACTGAAGTATGTGTGTGTCTGGAATAGGGAGGCAGATACGTTAGCGGCAGCTGAAATAATACATAAGGCCACCTGTAAAATGATTAATTCAAGGTCTAAAATTGCCTAACCTAGAATTACTGCATTCTAAAATTTCTATTCTGACTTGTGGAAGTCATGGAGGTTCAGTAACAAAAAGAAGGGCATGACTGAAATAGTGTCGAAAAGAAGCACTGAACAAGGTACAAGATCAAATCATTGTTTGATCACAATGAATCTGTCTGGTTTCTAAATGTTGTGATTTTGCTTTCATATTTTTCAGATGGCCTTTTCGTAGGCTCCAGTCTAATAAATAAGCCAACTAGTATCCTATGTGGGAGAAAAGTGTTTACAAGAAAAGCTTCTGCACCACCAGAGAAAGAGAAAATGACTTCCAAGCCAAATGAGTTTGCATACTTTTAGTTATTCTGTAGGATAGTGATGAATGCAATATTAATGGGTCCTATTTTTCAGAGAAGACAAACCAAAGCATCAAAACAAAATAAAACACAATTTCTATATAACATTTTGACATGGACTCCTGGGATTTCTGTGACAGCTCAAAAACTATTTTCTGACCTTTCTCTTATGACTGGCTCTGTACCTTCAAAATCTTTAAGTTGAATATCATGGCAACAAATACTACCTGATGCTTTTCAGAAAATCTAGATTTTTTTCTTTTCTTTTCTTTTTGTGAATGGTCACTGTATCTATACAATATAAAACTTTGTGGTGGGTCACTTGCGTTGGTAGATAAGAGTTCAAAAAGATGGAAGGCCTGATAAGGAAACTTTTAAAGCTTGAAATGTCCTTCAAGATACTATTAAAACCTATTTGTTCATTGCTATTAAAACCTATTTTTTTCAACAACAAAAAAGCGTGGCCCCATTCTCTTTTGCTTTGCAATTAGTTCTTGTGGTCTCTCTGACTTGGATTCTGTGATTATACTCGGTGAGGACAGCACTAATGCCGGACTGCTTGCTGATGTGTCTGTGTATGTGAACTCCCTTTCCTCTTTCCTGTGCATCTGGCAGCCTCCTGCAGCCCGGGGACACGTGCCTGGCTTATAACGGGTGTGGTGCTGCTGCAGAAAAGGGTTGTGTAAGTCCAAAGCTCAGCTCAGGAAGGAAGGAAGGCCACGTTCAGATGGAACATCTCCCAGGGGAACTTTTCCAGACAGCACCAACATTCTTCAATCTCTGTAGCCTGTTTAGCTTTGTTAGAAATTGGAGATGTTATCTCTGTGGACCACAGCTCCCAGAACCACCCAGAGCCATTCCAAACTGTACAACAATTCCTCCTTTTGTAGTTATGGGAGCATTTTTAAGTCTGGCACATAGAAATTAGGTAGCTCCTCAAATTACAAGCCCCAGAATTCTATAGGAGGGCAACCATAACAGTTAAAAGGTTATCAATGTACTATGGTTGTGTAGTGTGAAAGATATCTTAGCCACAATGGCCATCAAGATATTGCAGTCAAAACCAGTACTTCCAAACCATTGAATTGATACTGTATTTAGAAAGTTAGTCTTTTCCATATGCATTTAGAAGTTATAAAGAACCCTGGCCCAAGTGTGTGCATGCCCAGTGATTTCAGTGGATTCATTCACTGATTTTAGGTATGTTTAGAGTCATAGAATCATACAGTGCAAAGAAACCACAAGGTCACCCAGTCCAACCCCCTGGCATGCAGGAGAACCTGACTTAGCTGCCTCCTGAATTTTAACAAAAGTGGTTGTATGGAAGCATAATGCTTGCACTGATGTTTCCTTGGTAGGTTGTTTATCAGGCTTCAGACAAAGATCTTTTGCCTGCCTTGACACTCCTTATGTTGTCAAACATAGCACCTCCACCCCAAGAAATATAGTTTGCCAAGGACACAAAAGCCAAAAGAAATGAAATGCTTTCCTTGTAATTAAATCTCTGTTGCTTTCAACCTTAGTGAGTGTGCTTTTCAGTTGGGGAAATTAGATATAGTGTAATGCTCACTAGGCAGGACCCTCCATAACCGTTGTTCTAATTCTAAACTTGACTTCACTTAAATATCCTCAAGCACAATAGGCCAATTTCTTGGCTAGCAGTTAGTACCAACTGATGGCCTTTTTGTGAATAGAATAATAGTATTGTTCCCAAGGTAATTAATTCGTGAGTTTAAGTGTACCTTATTTTGTTTTTCAGTGGTTCAAGCTGAATACTTGTTTTATCAAAATAATTGAGAATTCAACTTATAGTAAACCTATGAATGGGAAAGTGCCAAGTAACCCTGCCATCAACAATCAGGTCTTGCAAGCTTAGGGCTCTGGCTTTTTTTGAAGAAATTTGTTGCTGCTTGCCTTCAATTCATTTCCAGTTTATGGCTGTCCTAATGGCAAGATTCTTTCAGAGGAAATTGCCTTTGCTTTCCTTGGAGATTGAGAAATGGAGCATTGCCAAGGTCAAGCATTGGGTTTCCAAGGCTGAGAAGGGATTCCAACCCTGATCTCCAGAGTCATACTCAAACTACTACACCTCACTAGCTCCCTCCTTTAAGGAAATAATTGGGTTTTTTCAAATGTATACATAATTGCAATACATATTGTGACTTTAAGTATCTAGTCCAGTGGTTTGTCCCCCATTTCAACATGGTGTAATGGTTTGAGTGTTGGACTACAACTCTGGAGACTTAGCCATGAAAGCTCACAGGGGGTCGCTGTTAACAGAAATCAACTTGAAGGGATACAACAACAACAACAACAACAACAGCAACAATTACAATGCTAAAGTGATGGTGCATTACCAGCTACTGTTTCTGGTTCTGCGTATGCTAATACATATGTTAACCACTTTTGGAGGAGGACTACAAGCAGAATATCTCAACATCATTTCCAAATCTACTTACCACTTTTTCTGCTCTGATTTAGTCACATTTTTCTACATTTACAGGACCTGTTTTTGAAAGTCATTTTCTTGTGAGAGGTTTCCATAAGCCTCTCTTGCAGTTATGTCTCAGTATTTTTTTCCTTTCCAAACAAACTTAAAGGTAGGAGACCTGTTTTTCTGCCCAGCACAAATGAGGTTGTTCGGTTTGTAGTTTTCCGAGCAAATCTTACAAAACATATGGTTCTCTCGGGCTCTCTGAAGCACATCTGTGTTTGCTTTTCATCTTCTGAGGAATTAAAAATAGAGTGTTATTGACTTAGCCATGGAGTGGGAAAATCTATTTTGTTGATGGACAGGAAGTAATGGAGAAGGAGGAGGATGTATTGCTGGGGAGGGGATGTGGAATGCAAGATGGCAAGGAAAATAGGTCCGGGCCTGATCTTATATTGTTGCGGGGATTAACAACTGAAGCTAATTACATATTGCTGATCAAATACCTTTGAAGAGCAGAGAACATGACAAGCTTAGAGGGAAAAGTTCAGGGCAGGCCACATGGCCAGCACTACTTTTTTTCTCACACATCTTTTCACTTTCTCCTGCCTCCATCTGCTGCCTGAAGTGGCTATCTTTCTTATGACCTGTTCGCATGGCCATTTTGGGTTGTGTTGTTGTGCAGGGCACTCATGGTGCCCTGAGAACCCTCCTTCTTCCCCTCATCACATGGAGGAGGTGGGAGAGGGTGCTTTAGCACCCTTTCTCTCCATCAGATGGCAGAAAGGGCGGCAACACATGTTGCCCCACTGCCCTTTCTGCCGTCACACAGCAAAAAGGGGAAGAAAGTGCTTTCCTCCCCATAGTGAAGGAGAAAGGCGCTTCTCTTCCACTTTGGAAGGAATGCATATGGGGACTGCCGTGCATTGTGTGATGGCACATGGCAGGCCCAGTTCTTGTCGTGCCTAATAGCAGCAAAATGGGGTAAAAATGGCCCTTGTGAAGAAGTCCTTAGATTCATGGTGGACCAGTCCCTAACCATAGGGCCTGGAAGTAAGGGAAATATGTTTGTTCCCACCCAGTCTCTTCTTCTCACTTTGAGCATATATTTTTGTTGTCTTAACATAAAAATTTACATTTTGTATCTGCAGGTAATTGAATTTATTTTATGAGCTTCTGCCCACGTTTCTACTTAATCTAGGGCCCCTTCCACACAATCATATAACCCAGAATATCATGGCAGAAAACACCACAATATCTGCTTTGAACTGGGGTATCTGAGTCCACACTGTCACATTGGGATTTTTTTCAGCTGTATGGTAGGGGCATAGGTCCTTTTGAAATTTGTTTCTATTTTTTTAAGGTATTAGCAATGAAATCAAAGGAAGAAATACATGATTTCTGTATATTAGCAATATATATCCTTCATTTCAAGAAGGAGCCTCAAAGGAGCTATGATGGCACACCAGGAAGATCTAATGAGAAACCTAAATGTGTCTGGCTATTTTCCCAGTGACCATCGGTATGCCCTAATTACTATAATTTCCCCAAAATAAAACTCTATAACCAAGATTAAGTTCAACAATTGTTTACTAAATAATCAAGGTAAATTACAACAATGTACAAAGGTGTAGATTGATTATGATGGTATAACTCTGAGGTAAAAAAAACCTACTATAATTTCTATGAGGTATTCTACAAACTATGGCAAGTATATTCTGATCTATAATCTATAAAGCAAATATAGCTATTCTTTATTACATGTATTATCTATGAAACATGGCAAATACAACTTTTAACTATAGGGGAATGTATAACTATAAACTATCTATAAGGCAAATACAAACTATCTATCTATAAACTCTAAGGCAAATACAAACTATCTATGAACTCTCTATCTATAGGGCAAATATGTATTATAAACTTTAAGGCAAATACGTGATTAGGATGGCCTGTTCAAATTGCTAGGCCAGACCAGACACTATCTGACAACTGTCAACAAGCTAAGACCAACAAAGAATGGGAAACAAAGTTCTATAACCAGCCCATTCTGGCTCTGAGTCAGAATGGGCTGCACCAATCGAACTCGGCCTCTAGGGAGAACCTAAGCTCTCCCCTAAACTTGGTAAAATGGAACAGTCCAACAGGCAACAAAGAAATAATACTAGGCTGAGACATCACACTCCCCGCTCAAATTTGGAACAAATTTGCATATACGTTATCACATATCACTCTATACAATTATATACAATAAACTTTAAACTTTTAATAAACCACCAAGTCTGTGAAAAGTCTTTGGTGAGTATCAGTCTTTCAGTTGGAGTCCGTCTTGATTGGAGTCTTCCTGATATGGTCATCCACACTCGGACACTCTCCTTGGGTAACACCCGTATGCCAATTGTTTCCGGAAGCACTTTGGTCCTTTAAAACAATGTCTCATACCTTGATGTCCTTGTGGGGGTGCTGTCCAACCTTTCTTCTCTGGAGTTGACTCAGGAAGCTCTGGAAAGGTCAATGGTGTGTTGTCCTTTGGAGAACCTGGGTCTGCGAGGCATCCGGAACCCGACAGACAGCTGGAATGCAGCAACCTCCGAGCAGACGCCCCTCGGGAAATGATGTCCTCAGTGGCGACGTGAATCCACTGACTTGCCTCAGCACAGGAAATGCTCTTG